TTCCATTCAATCTTTAAAGGTAGGGTCTCACTATGTAGCACTGTCTGGCCTGCTGCCTCCCACTCACAAAGATCTGCCTGCCTCTGGCTCCTGAGTGCGGGGATTAAAGGCGTGTACCATCACACCTGGCTTGTTTCTTATTTTTAAAGTAAGAGCCATGTTTGTTGGTTTAGACTATCTTATGACTGTGTTCCTAAATCCCATTGCACTTTTCAAAACACCACATAAAACTTTTAACCCCCACTAGAGCAGAAGTTCACAGACATTTCTTTTTGCAAATAAATAAATGAAAATCCTGTTTACTTGATATGACAACCTGAATTTTTCTTTCCTAATCACTACCATGAACACATTTTTAGATGACCAGGAATTCCAGAATGGCAGTGCACAACTAGGGGTAAAATGGCAATCGTGGTAATGGCTGTTCCTCTGCAACCATCTCCTCAGCTCTTCTTGACTGGGCACTTTCTCTTATGTGGTATTTGAAAAGCACAACCTCTGAGCAAAAGCAAGACAGAAGTTCCTGGTGTAGAAGATGTTTACAAGATCCGGGACTCCTTAAGGAGGGATGCATGAATATCCAAGATCCACATTCTACCTGAGCCCTTACCATCTCTTATAAGACCCCTGCAGTGGCTTTTTAACTGGTTTTCCTCCTCAATTAAGACACCCTCTTTATTTATTTGTGTGCGTATGCCCTCATGTGGCAGTAAGGCTTATGATAACTGTTTTGGTTTCCATGTGGCTGCAGGGTTTGAACTCGGGTTGTCTGTTATACGTCGAGTTATGCACTGAGTCATCTCACATTTACCATAGCCTTTAGCAAGTGTCTTTACACACTGAGTCTCAGGATGCCTCTAACGCTTGTCACTCGGCTAATCCTGAATTACAGCCCTGGCTGGATGTCTTCTTATTCAAGATGTTTCCAACAGCTCCAAGTGCCTACAGCTTGTCACAGCCTTCTGGAGTTTAGGATTCAAGTCTCCCATGTAACCTCAGTTTATTTTCTAACATATTCTATTATTTGATTTCACACTCCTCTCTTCCTCTCCCAACTGCTACACTTTCTTTTTCTTCTGCTGTGTTTTAGTCTGCACTATTCTCATGTTCTACGAAACCATTTTTTAAGCACACAGAGTCTCGCTATGTAACCCAGACTGGCTCATGACTCTCTTCCCTCACTTCGGCCTCCGTTGTTGGGAGTATGTGCCACACCTGGCAGCACAAGAAGAAATGAGGTACGCACTCACACTCACCGCACCAAGATCTCCGCGACCAAGCATTTGTCAGTGGATGGCTGGATAAGGAAACGAATCTTACATACAAACTGTGCTAATTTACAAACCAGAACCAACCAGTGATGACATAGGTAAACATGGAGAACTTTGTTAAGCGAAACAAGCCAGGTGTTCAAAGTAAAATATCACGTGACTTCACTTAACTATGGATTAAAAAAAAACATCTCACGGAAGCAGAGAGTAGAATGGTGGTTACTAGTAGTGAGGTTAAGAAAATGTAGGTCGAAGACTCCAAAATTTTAGTAGATTGGGCAAATAAGTACAAGACATAATTAGATTGTAATTAAAAATAATGCCTTCAGTCTTGAAAATCTCTAAGAGGTTTTTTGTTTGTTTTGTATTATGTGTTTAATTAGGATATTGTTACATAGCCCAGGATAGCCTTAAACACACTATTTTTGTCTTTGGCCTCAAAGCTGGGATTATAGACAAGCAGCATTCGAGGAGATTTCAAATAATCCTAGCACACACAAAACAACAAGAACTATGTGAAGGAATGCATGTCGTCTACTTTGGGTTAGCTGTCCCATAGTGTATACATATTCCAAACACAATGTTGAATCTGGTAAATACAAACACTTTTCATTTGTCAATTCAAAAATTAAATAAGTTAACAAAGAAAGAAATCCCATTTTTTGTTCATAATCATCGATGATGGAAGATGCCAGAAGCTGGAATGTGTGCTAGAGGCTGTGATAACATAAATACAACCAAAATAAACTCCCAGCGTATGCCAGGATTCATCTAAGCATCTCAAGTGTTAATCCTTCCAGGATGAAGACCAGAACTGAGATCTGCCTGACTTCTGAGCTTGCACTCCGCACTGTGCCATATACCGCTGCAATGGTCTGTCACTGTGGCCAAGCGTGCTGCACAGCAATGCTAACAACGCTGCAGAAACATTTATAGCTGTGCACTCTCCTGATGTAGGACGTGACTCTCATTTACTCCCTTCTGATATACTAAGAAGAGACTTTACAGAGAAAGAGAGGCTCTGGGAGTTAACTGCCCTTACCAAGGTCACATGACCAACAGGCAACTGGTGGAAAGAAAGGCAAGCACTCAACAACTATTACACTCCCAGTTCAATATTCTGCATTATGTTTTCTTTGACTGTATTAGCATATAACTGCATAAAGTAATTTGGCTAGAACTATGTCAGATATAAGAGCTTATTAAGTATTTGCCAAATAAGGGAAGGAATGTGAGACATCACTAGCGTGCAGTAGAAGTCAGGCAGAATTCTGTTGCCAGGTTCAACTGCACAGTGGCATGGCTGCACTTCATGTACAGCTTATGGTTTAAACTGGTTCTTTTTATCATACAAAAATGACAAAAATTATGCTTATGAATTGTGCTTGATCACTCACAGAAATACCTATGGGTAAAGGCAGAGTGACTGGTATGGAGGCAAATAAGAAAGACAGAGTGGTAAGAAAAGCTCATAAACTTCACTCCCATCGGAGGGAGCTCTTCTGTAGGTGACAGTCACCAGAGCCATCGGGGAGAGAGCTAAGAGCCCTGAAGGATGTGCTTCAAGCAACAACACTGTACAGAAATTCCAGACCTCACTCTTTTAAAGGAAACTCATATTTTTACAAGCGCCTAGTTGTGATTTAATTATCTTTCAAATGGAAGAGGTCATGCTACAACTGACGCAGCTGCTGTGACGAGGAGCTTGAAGGTTACAAGTGGCGTCATCTCTGCCTCATAAATGTTAGCAGCTTGCTTTAGTTAAAAAGGAAAATCAGGCCAGTGTGCTCACCTTTAATCCCAGCACTTGGGAGGTGGAGGCAGGCAGATCTCTAAGTTTGAGACCAGCCTCCAGACTGTTCTATAGATGAGTTCTAGGCTAGCCAAGACTACAGAGTGAGACCATGCCTCAAAAGAAAAAAAAAAAGACAAAATCAGTCTTATAAATGCTCATAAGACAATGATGCTCCTTTGAATGATACCAAGCTACTCTTTTTATGGCTAATTACTAATTCAGTAAGATCAAGACATAAGAAAAAAAATCTTTTTTACAGGTGACTAAATTCTTTTTCAATAATGACTAACCATTTTGTGATTAGCACCTTCATGTTTAAAGTGAATTAAGATAGCTAGTTTATACTATAAAGATTAAGTTAAAGTTCAAATAAAACAGTTCATCTGTGCTGAATGCTGCTTTGTGGAATCAGCTGTACTAAGGTACTCCATGATAAATGCACGGGGCTCGGTGGTCATGGCCAGGTCTGCACAGACTGAACTGACTGGCGCGTCTGGGCATGGGCCCATGGGTATATGATACAGCCCGTGTCTCTTCTCAAGGCTGAAAATAACAACACTGCCTCTCAGTCTGTGTAGGAGTCGTGAAAGGAATACCGGAAGTAGCCAGACAGGGCCTGACACAGTTAGCAGCATCCTTGATCACCTGTTAAGTGCCGTCCCGAGCAGGAAGTTGGAGACACCAGCTGGCCAGGGACATACTAAAGAAGCCAAGTGGTTGATATTCACAGCCATTCCAGACAGCAGGAGACAAATGAAACCACTGTGCTTTTATACAGCTTGGAATAACCACCTGTGGTCTCAGTCATCTTCTGGGGGAGGGGTGCTGTCTTAGAACATAGTCTGTACATTAATTACTTAATATTAGTAACAAAACAGAAGCTATTGTCATTATTCTTCCAAAAACTAAAATGTGGGTCAAAGGGTTATTGTACTCCTCAAGGCTTATGATCATGCACAGTTTCAGGATCTGAACTGGTAGCTTGGCTATGGGACTGTCCCTCTGACACCATGTCTACTACCTATTCCATGTCTTTCCTGTCCATTGTCCCGCCAATTTCTTGGTGCTAGGCACTGAACTCAGGGCATGCCAGGCACGGATTCTACTACTATATCTCTAGACCCTTTGAGGTCTTAAAGTTAAAAAAACAAAACGAAACAAAATCTTAATATTTGCAAGGCTGATGAAATCATGATTGAAACAATGTTTATTGCTACAAATGTGTAAGACAATAGCTGGTCAAAACAGATAAAAATCAAAAGTGGAATAGCCTCGGATTCAGTGGTGACTGCCCTTGATTGGATTCGGAGTGGGGCTATTAAAGCACACCTCAGGGTGTGTGTGTGTGTGTGTGTGTGTGTGTGTGTGTGTGTGTGAGGATGTCTAAAGACAATGGACCTGTGGAGGGGAAACTGAGGGGGAAGTCAGTAGTTGTTCATGAGACGAGTGTGCAGAAGGCAGAGGGAGAGGGAGACACCAGCCCACAGGCACAAGTGCCTTTCTTCCTGACAAGTGTCTCTCATCACTGTGGTGCCCTGAGGACAGCAGAGTCCAGCAGCTTCTGTCTCACACCATTTCCCCAAGGGTTTGACCTTCAGTCAACGCCTGGGACTACACAGTAGCCCCCCTTATTCTGAGGTTTCCAGCTTTGTGGATTGATTGGCTGTAGGATTCTCTGTTTTCATTATATAAGTATCCACTGCTAGACCATCCGATAGATCTGAGGAACTTTGTAACTCTGAAGAGGTAATATCAGTGAGTTGATTCTAATACATTTAACACCGCTTTATACCTTATATTTTGTTTACCTCAAATTCTTTTTATCTTAGACATGGAAATTTGCAGTTATCAGATATTATGTAACTAAATTTCAAAAACTAAGGTTCTATGGAAATGACAAAACATACTGAGTGCGTTTTTCCAAACAACCTTACCTCAACAGGTGATGGGGAGCTTGATGGTAGCAGGAAGGGAGCGACAGCCATCTGATGGACCGCGTCTTCGTTTCTGTGACATCGTCAAGGAGAAGAATCAGTACTTGAAAAAGGTTAAGTTCCTGACTCAAATTACAAATGCTTCCTTAGTTCTCAGTTAATGTGTGCATAACACCACAGAATTAAACATGTATATGGAGAGATCGACACGCAAAGCTCTTACACAAAGACAGGTATTGCGCTAGAGAGATACCCGGATACAATTACAATGAAGAAGAATGGGAATGCCAGGAGTCAGTAAATCGGGCTTAAGACATCTGATGCTGTAGGAGATAATTTTGGAAAGGTGTCAGCTCTTTCGACGTTGTGGAATGTCAGCTTTTCAAACGCTGGGCACCGCCTCTAGGTCCCACTCATGTTCACAGTGCTGTGTTCTTTGGACTGGAGGGATTCCCAGCCCCCGCGTTTGTCTTCAAACTTTGTTCTGCAAATGAAGGCTGTCAAGCTATCTATAGAGGCCCTGCATGGCAGACTGCGAGGAGCAGTGATGGATGGGGAGAGAGGAGCTCTGGGAAGATGATGCCTTGTGGTTATGTGAATGCTGCCTGCCATCTCAAGTGAGCAGAGCAGGGAGGAGCTAGCATCTAATCAGATGGGGACAGGAACACAGTCACGGCTAAAATGCCAGTTCTGATCATGTGGTTCATTTCTGTGCTGCCAGCGGACAGTAGGCAGTGCTTTGTGGGGATAACGACTGTCATCCATTATTCACCCATCATGCGGGATCAATATAACTAAGCTAGGATTTACTTATGTGAAGCTTTATCTTTCACAATTAAAAGCATGAAAACTCACAAATATTATCAAATATTATGTGACTAAAAATATCATAATATGTTAAGTAATATGCTTAACATGTGAAAGCTGGTGATGTAGTTCAGTGCTAGAACATTTGTTAACCACATGCGAGGGCCTGAGTTCGATCCTAGCAGTAATAAGGGAAAAATAAACAAATGTAAGGCCCCATATGTCTCTCCACATAGAAAGGTGATTTACCTGACTTGGCAGCTGGGTAACAAGTCCACTGGTCCATGTCATTCCTACTTCAGACTTCAGTCATAGTCATGTCCCTACATCCTTGAAAGGCCTGTCTTTAGCCAATTTATAAAACCTATCCATACTTCTCAGTATCATTCAATAACCTCAACAAGATGACTGGCTCCTCTAACAAGGGCCATGTTTACCTTTATTACACTGACATATCCGGCTGGGGGCTCCTCCTGAGCTCACCATCTGCACGTTGTCTAACTCCCCACTTAAAAGGGTCTCTACCGCATGTCTGACAAGCATCGTGAGAAAAACAGAGCTCAGTCTTCCTCTCAGTCTCCAGAACTCTCTGTAGCTGATTCTCACCTGAGTGCTCACGAAGACTTGACCTCCTGTTCAACCAGGAACTAAGAGCCTTTGAAAATTTGGTCTGCCAGTAAATGTTGATCATATGGGCCCCCACGATTCTCTCACCCCTTCCTCACCACTGAACCTGCTCTTCCTCCCTGTAAGCCCCTTTCCTACTTTCACGCCTACCTGTGTGTGTCCAGCTGCATTTAATTAAAATCACTTGCATGAACACAGGTGGCAAGCTGAGTCTTTCTAGAAAAAACTCATCTCTCAGTGGCACTTCCATCCCATGAACAAGTCCTGTGACTCTATATTTAAAATACATCTTTAATCTCTTCACTGCCTCCCAGCCTACCCTATGTGCTGGCCACCACCATTTTTCACCCCGACCAAAGAAAGATTTTTATTTCATTTCCTGTCTTACGTTTCTTAGCATCTTTACTGAAGTTCATTCTTCACCCAGCAAAGTTATGGTGGTTTTAATCAATAAGCCTGACTATACTAATCACCACCCTTGCCTCCCATCTTTGTTATCATCTTCTGTTTAGAAACAGGGTTTTATGTAGCCCAGGCTGACCTCAAACTTCCTACACAGAGGAGGATGACCATGAACTTTTAACTTTTTTACATAATGCTATACTTCTCTTCTGGCTTTAAGTCATCCTACAGCTTCTTTTACATTGAAGAGGCAGTCTACTGTGTCACTCCTGGTAGCAACCTACCTCTAGCTGTGGGGATTTGAGGAATCACTTCTCAAAGTCTTTGTTTCTGGACTGTTAATGGAAGCAGACTGAACTATCCGAATCCTAAGATGGAGAATATTCTTTGGGAAATGAGGCTGAGTATAAGGAAATAAAGGGGTTGAGGAGATGGTTAAGTTGATAAAGTGCTTGCCATAGAAGCCTGAGGACCTGAGTTTGGGTCCCCAGTATCTAAGTAAAAGTTTGTGCCTGTAATCTTCTGGGAAGGTGGGGACAGGTGATACCTGGAGCGCCATGGTTAGCCAGCCTAGAAGAATTAGCAAGTTCCAGGTTCAATGAGAGACCCTATCTCAAAGAAATAAAGTGGAGAATGAGAGACGAAACACTCAACACTGACCTCTTGCCTCCAACTGCATGCACAGACACCTGTATACATAAACATGTACACATTTTAAAAAAGTAAAGTATAAATATCATTTCTCATTTTGTCCCTTTTTTTTGGATTGCCCAGTACTTGAACTAAATCAAAACAAGTGTGAGAAAATCTAGAACTATAAAGTGCTATAGAACATGGAAAGTTTGTTTTTTTTTTCTGATAGCATTACTGATGCCGTGAACATACCACAATTATGTATGTATGAAGAAGACTTCAATTACAGGAGTACAATCCAGTATTCAGTAGTTGCTCACACACAAAAAAAGCAGTCAGCTAACATGGAGTAAGTAATGGATTTTCCCAATGGTAACTGCCCTTCCCATTCAGTTTTCCCCATTGAATGGAGCTGTGAGCAAAAAGCCATTGGGACACACCTGCTCCAGATGTGGCACTCACAGGGCAGGGAGCACTAGGAAGTAACTAAGTAGATGGCTTTCCCTTTCTCTCTCAAAGACTACAAGCATCGAAAACATGGCTGCACTTATATTTTGAGGTCATGATTAATTGTCTCAGGACAGCTTAAATCAGGTAAGCTATCTCTTTAAAATTTAATAATTTCCTACAAATTAGTATGACTTCAATGTCATTAAAGTCCACTAATTTTTTTTTAACCTCACATAGTAGAAAACCTACAAGTACCCTTAATGGACAGAATAAGTTACAATTCACAGTCTTTTATAACCCACTCAGTAGTGAGTTCACACAGCCCCCATCAAGTTGTAGAGAGAGGCATCATAGTGGCTTCAAAGAGGGAAGACACAGGAGAAGGAAAACGGAAGAAAAGGATTGGCACTGCAAACAAGCAGTGGGCCAGGTGACGTCTGCGGAGACTTCAAGCCCTCAACAGTCTAGAGATTCTCCTAAAGAACCAAATCTGTTTGCTTTATAATCAAACTTTTAAACAATGGTGAAAGTGTCTAAGGCACCCACAGGAGATACCACGTGGAGTTGCAGGTGTTTGTATTTTTATAACTATCCTAAGCGCCGACAGAGAGAAGACAATGAAGTTCCATCACAGATGAGAGTTATTCCAGGGTACATTTCCCTGTTGTACTGCAGTGACCCCAATCCCTGGGGACTGTGTTAGAAGACATTGGATGCCTAAGACCAAAGTAATGGACCCTACTGATACTCTGTTTTCATATGCACAGTGTTCTAGTTTCCTGTGTGTTACTATGATAAAAACACTTGGACCAAAAGAAATTATGGGAGGAAGGATTTATTTGGCTTACAATTAACAACACAGCCCATCATTTAGGGGGTCAGGGCAGGAACTAGAGCAGGAATTTGAAGAAGAAACCATGGAGAAATACTGTTTGCTGGCTCATAGTTAGCTAACTTTCTTAGAAAGCTCAGAACCACAAGAGATGGTGCTGCCCACAGTGGACTATCAATTAAGAACTAAGACAATTGAAATTCTCTCGCAGATGACTCTAGTTGTGTCAAAATGATAGTTAGAGGTGACTAGGCCACATGGATCTCTAGGATGGTTTCAGACAGAGTGAGAAGTTAATACAACATATGACAATAACAAGATAGTTATGTGACTAGGCTATCATTTTAAAGAGCTAAGGCAAATGTTAATATTTGTAGACACTGATTAACAGCTGGGTAACTGAGACCATGGCTAATGGACAGGAAATGTCCCATCTCTGTACCTGCTGTGCCCTATGACAGTTGCTTGAGCTGTTCTTTCTCCCGCTACAAACATAGGGACAGCATCTTATTTCTTTGAAATCCCAGCTGACAGCAGACCACTTAGCAAGAGAGTATGCGCACTACAATGCCTGCAGCATGAGTGACCTTAGAAAGGACGAAATGGAAGGCAGTGTGATTAAGCTAAATCCTGTGCTTTCTAACCTGCTTCCCATGAGTCAATCACAACACACTGCTTGCAGTCACTTCCCCACGTGAAGGACATTCCATGGTGTATGTCCAGCTCACAGGCAGCACCTGGATGGCACATCACATCCACACTAGATAACAAAAACAGCCTGCCTCATTGAGTGTATGGAGCAACCACATCCCAGAGTCTCACATTTTAGAGCAGATACACAGAGCTCAGTAGTGTGTCAAGACACTACCAAAGGCAATCCTCCAGCTATTACAGGGCTCACCAACGCCTCTGTGTGGACATCTGTACAGATGCCCTGGTGCATCAGGACCACCAGTTTATAAAGTACTGGGACAGAATCCAGGGCTTTGTGCACGCTAGGCAAGGACTTTACTAACAGAGCTACACCCCAAGCCCATTTTCCTTTTAATTTAAGCTGGTTAGAATTTAATTGGTTGAAGCTCAATGATAGCACTCATTTTATTTTGAATATGTACATATACTTGACACATGTTTACAATATGAATATAAAAATGAATAAAACATGATTGCCGACTTGATATCAGCAATTAGCAAAGAACACTGCAAACAAACAGAAGATTACAATTGTCGAATTACTACCCTGGGGTTGTCGGTTTAGCTTTTCTCAATAGGATATTACGAGCACTACTAATTCAGTCTCCTATTTGTAGAATATATTTATA